ATTACAACTTTTGTTTACTGGAAGGCTTGCTCTCCAGTTTTGTGTTGCTAAGCGGTATCCAAGCACGTGACCACTAGCTGCAAAGGGCCTATTTTGGGCGAGAGGAGAAGGGAGAGGGAGAGGGGATTCCTGTGCCGCTAGCTATATTTTAAAMTTTTGGCGGTTATCTTTTTTTGGCGGGGCAGTTATTAGTACGTTAGTATACGAATAACACATGCAAAAAAAACAAGGTAAGAGACGGTTGGGTATTCGTTTTGCTCTAACTTGCATTAAAATGAATATATTCTCGTTTTATTTAACTGAACTATGGATGTATTAGAACGAACACCCGTAGATCTATTAATAAATAAAACGAGATCAAAAGAAAGCTTGTTCTTTCATTTACCTTGTAATATAACTTGAAATTTATCACCAGATATATACGGAAAAGGTATTTATTATTTGTATATGTGTACTACTGGCATGGGCTGTGTATATTATATACATCCCTTCTTATAAGAGGTTTACATTCATATAGACATTCTACTGCTAAATAAGCGCCTTCACTTTCACACCGAGCTCCTTTTTAGTTCAAAGTCTAACATATGGGCTTGAGCAGGAGGTGCAGCTGCTATACTTTCATTTTGTGGTCCATCCAAAATAATGTAAGATTTTCAGATTAAATCTTGAAAAATCTTGAAACCAACACCCCCATGCACCCCAAGGGTTGTACAGGGCTGTGAAGTTACATTTATGTAGTTTTAAATTCAGCACTTTCACCTGGTTGCCGGAGAAAGATTTGCTGATAAAATTATTTAAGTTGTTGTGTTTAAAATCGTTGAAGTATTTTTTGAATTTCCTGTATCCCCTTCCATTGTTGCGTTTAAAATGCCTGTTTTATGCTTGGTCTCTCATGTTAATAGACATTTCCTAAATTTGCTTGAGGTGGTCAATAAAGCAAATTCAGGAAAGTTCCTACCCTGTCTTGTAGGTCGGGATGCATGGGTTTTCAATTGACTAGTAGTGAAATATCTTGTTTCCATATCGAGCAACTGGCTTTATTACACCTCCATAAAACCTGGCTTGCTGGTGTGGTTCCTATATCATTCTTCCTTCTGGTCATTACCCTTAAATGGTATTTTAATCTGCAATACGTACACTCAGTCCTGGTTGTACGAAGAGTGGTTAGCACTATCCAGGGGATAAATCCTTATCCTGCAGTGAATAAGTCGATGCTGTGAGTCTGATGTACTGGTTATCAAGTCTGACCTGCAGGTAGAGCAGCCATTATATTTAGCCCACAAATAGATTTGAATGATATAGCCTACATTCTCTTCCTTCACAGATGTATTGGGTAGCCTTAACTGCTGGTGCTGGCTTCATTTTGCCAGCAATACTATTCTTTTGGAGACGAAGAAAACCCAAATCATTTAAAATAAAAGAGCTAGCGAGGAATGGAATCCCTGAGGAAAGTGTTGCTTATGAAGTAGTAGATCTGGTAAGAAAAAAGGTTCCATTATTTATTTCTTTTTTTTTTTTTTAATTATTTATTTAATCACTTCCACACTTAAAAATATACAAAATTTAAAAGTAAAATATATTTAAAATAAGGAAAAATTAAACAAGAAAATAATGGTGRGGGATCACTACACAACAGAGCAATAAGGCTCCAACTTAAGTGCGCCCTTACATTATCTATCAACTCCGAGATGCCATGCTTATTGGTCACTTTAGAAATGAGCAAACGACTGTTGAGAGTTTTGAATTTTTATCTAATTAGTGAAAAAGTCTTGTCATCTGATAATAAAGCACCTCAATATTAGTACCTCTGTCAAATTTGCAGACTTACTAATCTTGAGATGCTTTCTCAAATTGCAAAAGTTTTTTTCTAATAAGATTAAAATTCAAAACTCATCCCAGTCTTGCTCGTTTCTAAAGTGGCAAATATTGTGGTCCTTTTTCTACATAGATCATACTAAATAATTAGGTTTCAATAATTATCTTTCCATGTAGTTGAAATTGCCTGCTCTTTTATGCTGTAGACACACTACCAAAATGGTTATTTCCATTTTGATCTGACCTTTTTTGATCAGAGAAGTACCTAGTAGTGCATAGCTAGGCTCTAATAACGTTTTGCTTTGTTTCTAGAACATTCCAAGGCTAAGTGGAAAAGCAATGGTCATAGTAAAGAGGCTTTGTTCAATAACGGCAAGTGACTTTCGGATATGGAACTTATTTTAAGAACTGCATAATCACATGATTACTTTTATCAGTTAAAATGTTTCATAGATTACTTCACAGCTGATTAAATTTTTTCTGTATTCAGTTCATAAAGAATATCTTAGGAGCTCAGAGCATAAGGTATATTAACATCAGTTTGTCAAAAAAAAAATTTTTATTATACATGTGTATACTTAATATAACCTTTTTATTGTATTGCCAGACAATCTAAACTGGATCTTCTAAGATCTATTGATATACCAGATTGTCCAACCATTACCCCTTTACCCTTGGAAACATGGAACCCTCCACCAGTAGATGACAGACCTATTGATTTTGAGAAGTACTTGAAAACAGCAAGGTATGATAGGATCATGGATCGGGGTATATACTGTCTATCTGTACTAGCTAGGTTCATACTATTGAGCTAATTTATTTAATGAACATGTGAAAACCTGTGGTTTTCACCTATCCTTATTTATCTGGTTCACTAATAAAAAGCCATATTTGAGCTTGTCATTTTCTTTATATGTACTCTAGAAGAAGCAAGAGTTCTCCCTTCAAGTTCCTTAGTATTGCAGAATTGACAAGGGCTTACAGGTAATATTATCAGTTTAGTTTGTTATTATCCATCAATATTATCAAAGTATATTTCAGCCATATGTTTTGAACTAGCAGTGTTTCATGTTGGAGGTTGATATGGTGCCTCTAACAGTCTGCTGTGTTTGTGTGTTATTTACTCACTGTCAGCTAAAGCCCTATTATATTGAATAAAAAATAATATATTTTTTTAAATGAATAGCCAGTAACAAACCTAGCCTGTTACATTCATAATCCATGATCAGAATAATGAGATTTGAAATAGTAAAATAACTCGATCTACTCAGTGAAAATATGATGGTGAGTTGCAGACCAATCAAACCCATGCATGAGCACAAAGTGAGAAGTGGCATTACACGCCATAACTGACCCAACAAAAAATAGTCTTGTTTGAAAAGGACATTTTGTTTTACAAGATTCAAAGTTTAAAGTTCCAATTATACTATGATTAACTTGCAGGAACAAAGAAGTAACTCCTTCTGATGTTGCCAATAATATTATCCAGGGTATCAGAGATTCTGAAAAAAGAACACCAAAAATGAACATATTTACTCAATATGACCCTGATGAGATCAGAAAAGTAAGTTATTTATGGTGTGACTGTGCAGGGAATCACTACATCATGCATGATACATGCATGCTTGTGTAGCTATAGACTGAGTAATTTCTAATGTCATTCATTTGAAGCTTGCTAAAGCATCTACTAAGAGATATGAGAAGAATAAACCACTCTCTTTCTTGGATGGGGTGCCAGTTGGACTAAAAGAAGAATTTGATGTGGTAAATTAAGGAACCTTTTTTGAAGATAATATATACTAGTTATACAATGGTTTTTTTAATCTTTTTTAGTAATGTTACGATCATCCGGGTGGATATAGTCCTGAGAAGGACTGTTTKATGTGACTGACGTTTTTGAATGACTTCCGCTCAGGTTGTAGCAATGTCAGTCACATCAAACAGTCCTTCTCAGGACTACATCCTCCTGGATGATCATAATATTTACTTAGATTAACATTCATTCACCTGGGTTCAGACAGTTATTTAATATATTTAATATTTAATATTTTTCAACGACCACTCCCCATGTGGGGCTCTTCCGTGAGGTTCCCTCCCCATGCACTACCACTACATTCAATATTCTATGTACACAATGCTCAGCTTACATGTTGATTTTTACGGAGGGAGAAAACCGGAGAACCCAGAGAATACCCTCGTAGCATAGGGGAGAACAACACATTAAACAAACTCAATTCACATGTGGCAACCGCAGGGGTCCAACCAGCAACCCGACCCATTGGACTCACAGTGGTGAAAGACAATGCCTTAACGGCGAACCCCACCCATGCTACCTATGGTTCCCATAGTTCTATACAATACCTAAATGGTTTTGGGTGGCATACTATGGAACGTCATATGAAATACTTGTATTTTGAACTATGAGCCTTTTCTGGAGAGCATATATACATGCATGGCTATTATACAAGAAAATACAATTGAAAATTCCACATTCAGTATGACATCAGAAATTATTGTTTGAAAGTGCTATGTTATTAGACACCAAAAATAAAAATACACCAATGCCTAATGAAAGGAACAGTTGAACATCTTTTCTGCATTTTGATTGGCTGTATCTTTAATGGTGTGGGATAAATGGCAAGCTAAGCCCTGTTCATAACATGACTGAAAAATGCTATTTGACCTACATTTTAGATTCCATATTATATGCAAAATGGGACAACATTCTGGTCAAGCAAATCATGTAAAACAGATGCCTCTTTGGTAAAAAAGCTTAGAGATGGTGGAGCTATGATCATTGGAATGACAAACATGCATGAAATAGGCATAGGAGTTACTGGAAATAATGCACACAGGTATTTTCAATTTTGCTTAGTTCACTCTTAAAGTCCCTGCAAAATTTAAATCTACAAACACTAAAATAGCTACAATAGAGCATGTATATAATTATAGTATTTAACATGGTAAAAAAGTAAAGCAGAATCCCATAATATTATCTCAAATCTCGTGGGGACCAGGGAATAGGTTCAAAAAAACAGCCAATTAGGTTTTCCAGGGTTGAATATTGTGCATTGTTAGAAGTCCATGGGATATATGGCCACGAGTTCAAGATAAAAGAAGTTTAAAATACCTGGGGTTTGAGTAGTTTGTCATAGAATGCAAAATCCTTAAATTAGTACACTCCCATGGGTCAATATTGTTTGCAACTTTTGGTGATTTCATATTAATATAACATTGTAACTAATGTACTGTACATAGCTCTCATGGTACACCAAGAAACCCTTACAATGTGAACCATTATACTGGAGGGAGTTCAAGTGGGTCTGCTGCAGCAGTAGCCTCAGGTATATACCATAAACCCCTCTTTTAAAACACCTAGAATCGTATCTCGTCATATCAATGTGCAATAAACATTTATGCCTGTATCAGGTAAGTTTAACTAATGGTAACCTGTGTTTATTTTTTCAATATAGTTTACCCATACATGTAAAATTTACATGGCATTAATGATATCAATAATTGTAGTACACTATTACTCTACACATTTTTATTTACTGGAACTGCAAGGCTGAGCTTTTCTCATGCAGTTATTAATGTATGCAGAGTTGCTTATTATTATTACATAAAGTGAATCTTATTGACCTACTTTGGTCATAGAAACTGAACATATTTATGTGTGTTGTACAGTAATGTGACATAAAGACTGTACATGTGTCATTACCAATAGGATTATGTCTTGTTGCTCTTGGGACGGATGGTGGAGGATCTATACGCATGCCATCAGGGGCATGTGGCGTGGTAGGAATCAAAGGTATAATATATTTATATATATTATAAATAAACCATGTCATTATCTTCATTGATCCGATCATGCTTATCTTTCATGTAATACTATTTAACAGCATCATATGGACGAATCAATACTGCTGGTGTAGTGCATACTTGTCATACTGTCACACATGCAGGTAAAACATTTCTTAACTCTACATTTTAATGTTGGATAAAATAATATAAGATAAAATCTGTATCTCCAAGTATCTAATATGTAAAATGGCCATGGAAAGTTTCAGTTACAACAATATCTTGTTGTGAAGAATAGTTAATGGACACTGGCACATTTAATCAAAAAAATATATCAAGAAGTCAATACAAAGTGCACTGATTATAATATATTATTATCTACACAGCTTATAGTAAACAAATGATGTCATTTACTTCACAGGTCCCATTTGCAATTCTGTAAATGATGCTGCTATTGTTTATGGTAAGTATTAGTGTGACAGAGTCAAAAGACACTATTTTGGACAGTAATTATTTAG